CCCAAAGCCGATCTCCGCGCCGGTCGCTTTGGGCTCTTTACCTACTTTGTTGCGGAAATACATCTCGGTGCTCCGTCCCCTGTGGGTCCGGGTTCCCGCAGCGCCTCTGGGGATGCGGAATCCCGGTCCTCAGGAGGGGAAGAAAAAAGCGAAGAAAGAACCAAACCCATGGCAGAATCAGAACTGTGTCTATTTATAGATAGAGACGCGTGTGTTGGGGCTGGATCCCCTGGAGCTGCACACACACCGGTAACTCCGCCCGAAGGCCTGGACGTTCTGACATCACCTTCCCAAGAGCGCTGGGAATGACAGGTGTCTTAGGAAGCCTGTTCTGTGGCCAGTCACTTGATGATTATTTATTAATTAGGGGAAAGATGAGCTCTGGAAATAAAGTGTTTTTCAATGAACTGAATCACGACAGGGATGGTTGTTGAAACCCTATTATATCGGATGTTCCCTGTCCTGGGTTGGGTAATCTCATAGTTTCCACTGGTTAGTGAGTGTTTTAACCACTGAAACATGAGGTTTTGATTTTATTTTTTTTTATCCTAAAAGAGTGGATTGTTGTCCACACAGTCTTTTTTTTGCCATTTTGACCATGCTAACATTTTTTGTTCAGTCTCTGGCTGGCAGATGAGAAAGCTAAATCTGAACACACTGTTCTTGGCAATGACTTGTCTTTCCACTCCTCCAGTCAGTGGTATCATGATTTCCACGTTAAATTCTATTTCCTCCTTGTGACAGCACTGGATTCTACTGCTGTTGTTACTTTCTTCTCCTGGGCCTTTCCTGACATCCCTAGCACTGTACAAGTTGCATCAACGTGTGTCATTACCAGGTTTTTATCATATTCCTGATAACTGCTCCTACTTGGTGCAAAATCTTCACAGCAAAAAGCAAGAAAATACAGCTGAAAAAAGAGTTAACCAGGTGAGGAGCTTTGGGGCAGACTTCCCTGCCCAGGAGAGCTGTGGTGTCACCTCTGGGGACATCAAACCCTGCCTGCAGGGCACCTGCCCCTGTCCTCCCTCTGCCCAGCCCCCCCGAGGCCCCCAGGGCCTGCAAGAAGGTGCTTCCATACAGCAACATTCCTGGGTTTGCAGGGTTTAATTTTATAACTGAAGCCATGCTGGTTCACAGCCACCCATCTGATTTTCAGTGCTCTGTAATAACAACAAAAAAAAAACCCACAAGTAATTTTCAAGAGTGGCACAGGTTGTCCAGGTTGACAGGTTTAAAAATAATACATCATAAATGCTCAAGGTTCCTCCTGTGTGCAGTGGCTCTCTGCACACTGCCTGCTCCAATACAAATGGATTTCTTTTCCCAAGTTAGCTTTTCCTATTTGTATAACCCCTTAATTTGTTTGGGGGCAGGAAATAAAGCTCTCTGATACCCTGCTTTACATCTATAGTGGACAGTCTTGGGTGTTGCCTTAGAACAAGCTGGCCAGCCTCTTGTTGGACCATTATTTCTCTTAAAACTTCCTGCCTTAACAGAGACTTGGGGGAAAAAAAAGAACCTGGAAGGCTCTTCAGTGCATTCATCCCCTTTGTGCTGGATCCTCATCCTTGACCTGCTCCATAGGCTCAGCATTCCCACTGCTAAAGGCTGGTTCTTACTCAGTAGCAGAATTAGCCAACACAATCTGTCCCAACAATTTTTTTCCTTTGCTTTTCCAACCCCAAACAAAGCACTGATGAAAACCAAGTTTCCTTCCTTTTTCTGCAGTGACTCTGCTACAAAAAATGTCAGGCACAGGTCTCGGCTGTCTTGTCTCTGTACTTTTTGGGGCTGCATTCAGGCTTCATACAGCAGAATAAATGGAGCTGTGCTCTCCAGCAGAGAGCAGAAGGGCTCTGTCTGGTGAAATAACAGCTGTGTGGAGAGACAGATGAAAGGATACAAATCTCTGGAGATGCAGGCTGCAAGTCTGTCATTCAGCTTTATTTTAATTTGATTTAAAAATAAATCTTGCTTCTGACAATCAGCTACTTTAGATTTTAATCAGACCTATCTAGTCCACATGCTTTCTGCACAAGCACTCAGGCTGCTTTGGTTTTTCACAGGATCAGAAACGAATAACATTTCTTCCTATTAAGCTTGAAACCTGAGCTATGCAGCGAGGGACTTCAAAGTGGGTGTTTTGTCAGGGATGGGTCAGAGAAATGCAGCTTGTTGGTGACACAGAGAGCCCGGGAATCCTGGCGCCAGCTCTGCTGCTCACCACTGCGCCCAAGTTTTTCCCATCCTCTCTGTGTCCCCCCTCCCAGGTTTGGTCTTTTATGAGAAATAAATTAATCTCTGCTTCCCCCACCCCTGAATTTATCTTTAAGCTTCCGGAAAAAAAAACTTCTTGACATCAGTGTAAAGCAGCGGTGGCAAAGCCAAGGTACCTGCTGGTCCTGCTGGAGGGGGGATGTCAGGTTACACGTGGCCATTTGGCAGGTCAGCTCTGTTCTGCACCCCATTTCTTGGCAGCAGAGGCCCAGTTTCCCAAATTTGAATTTCAGTCATGACTCAGTGTTTGCTAACAGGAATATCCCATGCTTCCCCCCAGCGTGCGTGCTTGAGGATGTTCCTCTGGGCTAAACAGTGAAGGAGAGGAGAGGAAGGGAAAGGCCTGGTAATATTCAAAATACTATTACAGCTATGATGTTCTTCTCAGAAACATCCTGACGGGAATTTCCCACACTTGCAAGCATTTCGTGTCTCACCACACAGCCCAGACTAACCCAAACTCCGAGGGATTGTTTTTCATCTCTAGAACTGGTGTTCCCTGATGCAGCTTTTAACTTTCCCACTTCCTGGGTAGTCACTTGATTATGGTTAAATGCTGGTATCAGTTTCAAAATCCCTGGTGTCTTTCCTAATATCTGGCAGGGTGATGCAGAGCCAGCAGCCCTGCTGGGCAGCCAGTGTTGTGCTGCTGCAGAGGAGACTCCTGTGCGTGTTCCGAGCTGGGGCACCAGGCGGGCAGGCTTCTCCCTGTGCCCGCCGCAGCCCCTGCACGTCACTGCCTTGCTGCTCCAGACAGTCCTGACCTGGAAGTTCAGCTAATGGTTCCTGTGTGGTGCCCGGTCCTCGCCTCCCTTCCCCACATACCATCTCCTGCTGCATCCCCGGCTGCGGGTGCTGCGGGTGCTGCTGGTGCCGGGACAGCCGGGGGGCCGGCGCTTCAGAGGTGCGAGACAAAGCGGATGCGCTGGGAATAGGCCAGGTCCAGCACGTAGAGCAGCAGGTTGACATAGGTGAAGATGGCGATGACCAGCTGGCTATCCCAGGGGCAGCGGCCCTTGGAGCAGGCGCCGGGGCGCCACGGGGAGCCGTACTTGCTGTCGAAGCAGAACACTGGCCAGATGACGGCCGCGCTGACGTACAGCAGCACGGCCCCCAGGGTGTAGACAACCACGGAGCGCTCAAAGGGGAACCACAGCAGGGCAGTCTTGCCAGTGACACTGAAGGCCACCACCACCACCGTCACCACGAAGCAGAAGCTGTAGACGGCCACGCACCACTGCGTTGCCACGTACTTGCTGTACTGGCTGTCGTTCACCAGTGCCCCAAAGATGATGCAGGCCACGAAGGCCTGGACAATTTTCAGGAGCCCAGAGACGGTGGCCATGTAGCTGGTGACTTGTCCCGGTTTTGCCCTGGTTAAGAACACCTCGGCAGCGTAGGCCAGGAAGAGGAGGCCTGCGAAGACACTGGCGGCGATGCGGAAATCCCTCACCTTGCAGCTGATGGGGTAACAGTCCAGCTGGACGAAGTAGAGCGGGTAGATGACAGCAGCTGTGACGGACATGAGTGTGGCCAGCATGGCGAAAGCCGCGGTGAAGTTCCCCCAGGAGATGCTCAGGCAGCTGTGCAGGTGCGTGAACTCGCAGGTGAGGATGAAGACAGTGATGGCAAAACAGAAGGTCCAGACAAACATGCAGAAGGTGCCATAGGCTGCGCTGAACCCCCCTTGGTGAGCCACCAGGCTGAAGGTGGTGCATCCAAACGCCATCTGCAGCAAACGAGCTACTCCCACAGGGGATGTAACGGCAGCAGTGTTCAGATACGGCCCTCCTGTGCTCTCCATCATCTTCCCAGACCAGCAGACAGTACACTTAAAGCCCCCCCCAAAACATCCTTTGAAGGTTTTTCCCCTTTGTCCCCAGTCTCACCTGGCACTGGATCAGGGGACCAGCAGCTCCAGTCCCCGCTGTGTCCCCTCCCGTGTCCGTAGGAGCTGCTCTGACGCTGCCTGTGTGTTCTGGCAGTGGCTCAGCAGGGAGCTGCTGGCTGCAGGAGGCTGCTGCCGAGCCCTGCCCACCAGCTGCCTTCCCAGGGCACTGCCATCAGCTCCCTCTGCTTCTCAGCTCCCAAACCTGCCCCTGCTTGGTCTCTTTGCTGTCTCCTCTCCCACACGGTGGCTGAAAGGGTGGCTCTGTGCCTGCAGGCTGACATTTATTCCATTTTAGCTCTGCAGCTGTAGCTCTGCCGCACCGTTTGCAGGAACCCAGGAGTATAAATAGGGGCTATATTAATAGTTCTGGAATGAGTCCTGCCCCCCACAACTGCCTTGAGCAGGTGATATTTAACACTGACACTGCAAGCTCCATCAGAGGCTCCAATTATCCCTCTGCTGCTCCCCCAGGAACGCTGCCGTTCCCCCTGCAGCTGCCCCACGCCGTGCGTGTCCGTGGAGGCCACCGTGATCCGGCCTTACTGCACAACAGGAGCTCAGCCCTGCAGACCCCAGGGCAGGGGCATGAGCCCAAGGACACCACAAGCCCTATAAAAGGAATTGGGCCAGAGGCTACAAGAAAAGCTGACTCACTTAGCTCCATGTGATCTGAAGCAGGAATATATTTACCTGCTAGGAATGACCCTGCTGTGCTTTGGGCATTTAGCAAGAGCATGTGGCTATGAAGACTTTGAGCACCAGTCTTCACTGTCTCCTTGAACTCTTCCCTGTCTCTGTTTTACTTATATAGGAACCAGTTATTCTTCAGTCTCTGAACACCAAAATCAAATACAATTGGAAAAAAAAAATAGTAAAAAAATTTTATTCTTAGCTCTGTTTTGGATCACAGATTTCAATATATAGTATCAAACACTCCCTCTGGTTAGCTCAAAGCTTCCCCAGTTAGCCATTTTTGGTATACATTTCTCCAGACCTACCAAAAGGTCTCTTAATTCTACCCAAAAGTCTCTTAATTATAACTCTAAAGGCCCCAAATAATTTTTCTGATGTCATTTCAGAATGGGAAAAATTCAAAACTCAACATAGTAGAAAAATTCCTCACTTACCTCACAGCAGTGTTGCTGACTCCTCACCTGCAGACCAGCTCTGCTGTGCTGGTCCCAGTATGGATCCAGGACCATCCCAGGAGCCTTGCACTGGTGCAGGGAGTCAGCATGGCCAAGGGCCTGCCCACCCAGAGCCTCAAAGCCGTTCTGAATTGGTCAGGGTAGTCACCAGCTGTGCTGATAAAGTCTGTAGCATCCTAACTGGGAATTATAAGCTCCCTTCATGCTTGGTAACAATAATAAATGCTTCATATAATTCTTTCTTTTTTGTATGTTCATGTAAAGATGTGCCACCCACCAGTGAATGGCCACATGCAGAGCTAGATGCTCTAAAAATGTCAGCTTCCATTTATGACCTTGGCCTGTGGGGTGGGCTGGGTCTGTCCAGAAGGACACTGCTCTGCTCCCCCTTCCCTCCAGACCATCACTTGTGCTGTGGCTGGGGACTCAGGCTGGATAAAGCAGCTCTGGAGGTGATGCAGCCCATATCTGGCTGTTGGCTCCCACCCCCTGCCCTCCTTCCTTGCTCTTACACAGCTTGTCTACACAGCTGTGCTGGATGAGGGAACCAAGCTCAGATTTTAAAAAGAACAGCCAAAAACTTGCACCTGACAGGGATTATTTTTAACCTGGAGTCATCACTGGTCTGACTTACACTGCAGACGTGCATGGTTGTGTCCACAGCAGCAGCCCTGTCAGAGCAGCTAGGGCCAGGGATCCAGCAGCAAGTATTTTAAGATAAATTGCTGCCTCGAGTCACTTAAGATCCAGCCTGGCTTGGGACAGGAGGCAAATGCAGACAGACTGGGGCCACAGAGGACTGCTGTGGTGAGAGGGAACATGGCTCCAGCAGCTCCAGGCAGCGTTTTGTAGGCCGGGGGTAACTGTGGAGTTATTCGCATGACAACAGTACAAAGTTTGTGGATGTTGAGGTAAAATGAACCTGCCTTCAGCTTTGTCACGGTCTTTCACGAAAATCCCTCCCCTTTGCCTTAAAAAGACCTCTGGTGCTAAATGTAGAAAGCCCGCATTCATTTGGGGCGGGAGTTGCGCAATTAACATCACAACAAGCAGGAAACGCAGCCAAAGAGCCGAGGAGCTCCAGGTTTTCATCGGGGGCTCCGCGCTGCGCTGCGTGGAGAACGCGGGAGCTTCCCCGGTGTCCCCAGCCCCTCGCAGCGCTCCCTGCCCGGCCCTGCCCCGGCTCTTGCCGCAGGAACGGGCCCCTTTCCCAGCGTAGCTCTTACCCATCTCCGCCCGCCCCGTCCCGTCCCGGGAGCTCGCTGGGTTGGGCCGTTACGGCTTCCCCGGTGTCCCCAGCCCCTCGCAGCGCTCCCTGCCCGGCCCTGCCCCGGCTCTTGCCGCAGGAACGGGCCCCTTTCCCAGCGTAGCTCTTACCCATCTCCGCCCGCCCCGTCCCGTCCCGGGAGCTCGCTGGGTTGGGCCGTTACGTGCCCAGCCCGGACCTGCGGTCAGGCCGTGCAAATCTATACATCCTGCTGTTAGTTTTGGGCTTCTTGGTTGCATCTTCATTCTGCTCAATCACATGATGCATTTGGAGACGGTTTTTCCCTCCCAGAGGGAAAGCATCTCATCCAGTCACAAGATCTGGGAGCACAAACACATGGCTCTGAATTCTTCCCGTCTTGCCCTTCTTGCCCCGGGTCTCCACAGCAGATGTCACTGGGGATGAACGTAGAAGCTCCAGCTTTACCAGGGGTCTGGAAATCCCTATTTATTGCACAAGCACGGGGAGCACGGAGCTGGAAATTATTTCCTGGGTTACAGGCTTGTTTCCAGCTACAATTTGCGACCACACTGTGTAATTGTTCTAATAAGTTAGCAAAGTCCCCCTTTAAAAATATTTCTGAGACGTCTCCCTGTTCAGTTTAAAAGACTGTGGCAGAGGCACATGAAGCTGGAAGAGCTATCCCTGACTCCCAGGGATTTTTTCCTGTGCGTGCAAGGAAAATGTCCCGTCTTAACATTCTTTGCCTTTTAAAAATTAACCTTTGAATTAATACTTTAGCTATACAGGTAGGTAGCTCTGCAGAAAAAGTATTCCAAACTTCAACAGTGTCATGTATCCTTTAGTGTTTCCTAGTAGTAACACACTGTTGGAAACTGCCTGGGGCTCTATCTACAGATGCATCACCTTGTGTATAGTCATCCTGCAAACAACTGTTTCCCTTGGTGCTCCCAACTGGTGAACTATTCCAAGCGGAAATTCAGGCTGCTGCTCAAGTACCAGCACTTTGATTGACTCCATGTGACTGCAGCCCTTAAAGGAATCCCATCTTCCTGTATGCTTTTCCAAGTGTTGTCTGTACTGAAAAAGCTTCTAAAAAATGTAACCAGAACAATTTTACTTTTATATCCAAGTCATTAAAACAAACAGGGTATCAGTAATCCCTAGATTGATCACAGGGAAACTCCACTGAGAGCTTTCCTGCATTTCATTTCTGCTGGGAACATCATTCTTTTTCTCTTTAGCTACTTTATCTTACATGTGCACTAAACCACCTTGCACAGGACAGCTACTTGGTGTGGTCCTGCCTGTTTGCTGAAACCCATGAGATGTAACCCAATGGCTGTGGTTTTGTTCACTTTTGGGCTTACTCAACTAGGACAATGCATCTCAAACAGCACTGGCAAGACCCATCTTGAAAGTGCACAGATCTCCTCTAAAATTAGGCCCTGATTTTCTGTGGCTTACACCTTGTGTAACCATTGACACAAGCTCCAGCAAATGCAACATCAGGATCAAGAGCTTTGCTGCTTCTGCAGAATGAGGCAAGTTCTGCTCTTTCTGCAGGTCTGTCTGCAGCAGCTGCAGTGCAACACAGCATAAAGCTTCTCTGCCCCAGTGCCTCCCCCTAAGGAACCATCTCTTGATCTCCAGCTTCAGTCACACATTCCTGATCCCTCCCTTGTTCTCCTGCCATTACCCTCAAAGGGGATGCTGATGTTCTGAGGTGGGTGTGTTCATAATGACTAGGAGAAGGGAAATATGTTGGTGCTTGTTTTGTGTTCTCTGCCTTTCATGTTCCACGTGCTCCCCGTTTTAAGACAGGCCAGACAGTTTGATCCAACATTTCTCTCACTGAAACAGAATCCTTTGCTGCAAAAACAGATCTCCCTACATCTTAAAGTGCAATGCCCTGGAATGTGTGGCTAATCACCAACCTGGAAACACTTTGCAAGTACAGACATCAATGCGGGGTGAAAATCTCTGTACTTAGTCCTTGTATTACAACCTCTTCATCAGAGAAACAGTGACAAAGCATACTGCAAGGGGAACACAGAAAACTAATTATTACAAAAAGTCTATACCACCCTCAGCCCTTTCCCAGGCACAAGTGATCATAAGGATAACCCATCCAAATGAGCAGCATATACAACTTTACAAAGACATATGTATGGTTCTCTGGTCAGCCCTTATAAATAGCGTTTTACATATTAAAATAAATATGTCCACGTTGCCAAAGTAGCAAGAGGTTTCTTCGTTATTTAAAAAAAAATATGTTACAAAACAATATCATTTATATTTCTTGCTTAGTTTAAAAAAAGTAATAAAAAAGTCATTTTATAAAATAATACGAAAGTAAATTGAGTACAAGAGTGTCCATCCCTAGCACGTGTCCTGGGTTTGCATGCTGTAACTCGTCGTGAGACGCTGACCTCCAGGAAGTCCTGTAATCATTCCTTCACCTCTGGTTGGACAAAAGAAATCCAGTGCTTGCTCTTTTCACCACTTGTATCAAGTCTATGATGTAAAATTCATGGCAA